CTTTTTCTCGGGTTTCTGTTTAATTGACCCCCAGGAGAGACCGTCCCCGTCCGGCAAAGCGCCGGAGCTGGGCAGAGGCGTGGGGCACGCACGGGGCACAGGTTCCCGCTCCGTTTCTGGCACCCACATCACCGATGTCCCATTAAACACAAGTGGAAAATTTCAAATCGGTTCTTTAGCAAAAATCCACGGCCGTGGGGTCAGGAATATCACACCCGCTGACCCCACAGCGGCTTGCAAATTTAAATGTCACAGGACCAGCTCCTTAATCCCTTTGGGAAGAGCTTAATGCACCTCATTATCAAGACGGTTTCCTTTTCCAGCCTGAATTCTCCCATTTTTATCCCCTCCTCCAGGTTTGTGCCCAGTTCCCTGCGGGAAACTGTGCTGTACCGCGGCTCCTCGTCACACCCGACGGGCGCAGAAGGCGACAGGCTCTTTTTCCTCACACCCTCCAGCAAAAGCCCTCATCCCGTGAAGAAGTCCAACCGGGAACTGAGATAAAAGCAGGCTGCGGTGCCGGCAGGGGACGGGGATGTCCCAGCCCCCCGCCCCGCTCCCCTGACCGGACAACCTCAAAATCTCCCGTTCAAGGCGACGCGGGAGCAAAAGATGCTGCAACACCTGGTTCCGCTGCCGTGGGGCTCCCTGGGGTGGCATCCGCGTCCGCGGTGCCCGGGGGGGATGCGGTTACCGTGCGCAGCCCGTCCGCATTCATCCCACCGGCCCCACGCTCCCCTCTCTAGAATGAGCAGCTAATTCAGCCTCGGTAGCGGACATTTTTTCCTTCCTGCTCATTTTGTTCCCAGCAGTCATTCTCTCCCTTCCCCAGGCGTGCAAGGGTCCAGCTCTAATTAAGACACAATATTAATTATAGAAATAGGCGATGCCAAGGGCAGCCGCCCGGCTGCATGGCCTCCCCGTCCCCTGGTGTCCCCCCAGGTGTCACCGGAGTGGCACCGAGCCCCTACCGAGGCCACCGCGGTTTGGGGGCGAATCCCGCGACGCCCCCGCGGAGCAGCCAGCACCGGCACCAGCAGCGCCAGCAGAGGGGCTGCAGCCCCGGGAAGGCAAACATCATCTCAGCAGGAGGGGGGGAAATCATGAAAGCAACCAAGAGGAGCCTTTCCTGGAAACTGGGAGGCAACTGGAAATCGTTACGCCTTCAGTTAGTGCTGCAAAAGACAGATAAGGCGGTGGAAAGATGGATCCACCCGGTGCCGCCAAGGAAATCTTTTTTTCGCCATGGAAAAAAAGCCTTTTTGCTCCCGGAGAAGGCAGCGCCCACGAGGCAGCTCCGGAGGAGGCAGAGCCCGGGACTGCACGGGGACAGCCGCACCGCAACCCCCACGCCACGCATGCCCTTCTCACCGAGGATGAGGGTGTGAGCGCACCCGCAACCCTGGTGCGCAGCTCGGGCACGTGCAGCAGCTCTGCCCCGGCGCCCCAAGCCCGCCTGCCCTGCGAGCGCCCCGAGCTCAGCCCCGTGTTCAGCCCTGGCCGTTTCCATGGGGGAACCCAGACCCCGCTCCTCAGGGCGGTGCTGACCCCGCTCCAGGGCTTCAAGCGGGTTATTTTACTCCTCTCCGCACTCGCTCCTCCTGGGGCTCCTCCTCGCCCTTTGGGGATGTCCCTGCAGGCTGCCCGGCTGCCGGAGCCGTCCTCGGTGCACGCGTAGCCCTCGGTGCCGGGACACTCCTCCGCTGGCGTCCAGGGAGCTCCAAGGGAGATGCTTTTCCAAAAATGAACACTTCCAAATGCGTCCTTCCAGGGTTCCCACCGCACGGGCTGACAGACCAAAGCCTTGCCCAGAGCAGCCCTGCCACCACCACGGCAACATCCCTGTGACAGCCGCTGCCACGGGCAGATTGGGAAAAAAACCCAACAAAATAAGAGTCAACCCCGCTCTGATCCTCCTTCCACATGCTCCGTTCCCACCAAAAACCCCAAGAGCAGCTCACCTCTGGGCAGCCTCCGCACCGCTCACCCCCAGCGCCAGATCTGCTCCCACCCCGGCACCCCCCGGGGCCGGTGGAAAATTCAGGGAAGAACAGGGCAGCACCGCTTTGTTTTCTAAATCAATACAATTTTTCAAATTTATTTTTTAAGAATTACTTCTAATATATCTTTCTCACAGAAGGAGGGTATAGGGAATGTTCTCATTCCATCTGTAAACACTGAAATACAGATCTGGGAAACCAGGGAAGAGACACAAAAAAAGTGCATTTTACAAAATTATCAACTAAAATATATTTTACATGTATTACGTTTCAATTTAAATTCTACCGACTGCATTTTCAGTTTCAAAAAATATTTCCATATCTAATAGATTAAAAAAGCATGAAATATTTTCATTATGGATAAGACATTTCAATTCATTTACATGCTGTTTGCACAACAGCATAAGCAACCACGTGAATCTCGGAACAACGTTCTCGGCCTGAAGCAGATTCTAACACAAGCGGAGTCAGGAGTCGTCCCCTCCGGACGCGGGGCCGAAGCCCGTTCCAGACCCAGGGCGAGCACAATTCCTCCTCCACCTGGAGAGGAGCCAGGACGAAGGTGGGAGCCGGGGGGAGAGGGCTCAGAAGAAGAGTTGCAGCGAGTCACTGTGGTTTCCAGGGCCGGGTCTCAAAGCCCTCCCTGACGGCGCGGCAGTGCTCGGGGTTTGCCGGGCAGGTGGGTTTCGAAGCATCCTGCGTCTGGTGGCACCTCCGCTCGGGGAAGGTGGCCGCGGGCAGCGTGCCTGCCCCCGCCCGGGTGCCAAAGGAGCCCCCGCCGAGTCAAGCGGGTGCATTTGGGGCTTCCCATCACCTTCCACGCCACCACGGTGCGTCACCACCCCGGGGTGTAGCTCTCCGTCCCCCTCCCGGGCAGCCACGAACCGCTTTCGCAACAGGCGGGAGCGGCTCCGCAGCTCCATCATCCACCCGCCCCGCTATGGAGGGGAACCGCTTCACATCCTCTCCCAGGAGCATCGGAGACGCTTTCTCCGACACCCCCTCGCATCCCCCGGGGCACTTCCACCCGAGAGCCCCCGAAGCGCTCCCGACTCCCACCCTGACACCGCACTGCCACATCAGCAGCCCAACCGCGGCGTTCCAAGAGACCACCAGTGCCCAAGCTAATTGTTGCGGAGAAATCTGAGCAATTGCTTTGACACTAACAGTATCTTGAGGTATAAAGGAGATAAGATGCTTCACCTGCAAATTCTTGCTTGCACGCCTCGGACCGGACCCCCTGGCGCTGGGTGTCCCTCCGGGCTACGCGGGCAGGAACAGAGAGGGCTCTTCAGCATCCTCCACCATGCCGAGCGGGAATCGTCCGCCGGCAGCAGGGAGATGCACCCCGCTGCCCGTGCTGGGTACCAGATCTTGTCACCTCCTCTCAAGCCATCGTCTTCACACCTTCCCCTCTTTGGTATGTAGAGCACATCTCTGGAGAACTCCTGCGGTAACGAACTATTTCCAGGTAAGGGATTTGCCGCTGGGGGTTCCTCTCCAGGCCAGGCCGGCACGCAGCCCGCGGAGCGAGGCAACGAGCCCTCCGTTCCCACCGTGCCAACGAGCCCTCTGTTGCCACCGCGCCGGTGTCCACGGGGAGTACAGGTAGTGCCACTTCCACGGACAGGACAACAACATTAAAGCAGTATGAACACTTCCACCATTTCACACGAGTTCAGAAGCCCGGAAAGATGCAGCTCCCTCGTCTCGCTGAGCGACCCCAGCCAGCAGCAACGCGGGCCGAGACGGTGTCGGTTCTCCTTCTTTACGGTAGTGCAATCCAGAAGCGGCCTCCCGGCTTGGTGCGAGTGACTCGACGGACTGTTACGCTGCCCTTTGGTTTGCTTTAGAATTAACTCGAACAGTTTGCATCAAGATAAACTAACGTCTATCTAGGATGTAGACACGTAAGGCAAGAGGCAATATCTGTGGGACTCGGGTCGCATTTGCCGACGTGAACCTCCACCGACGCTCAGTTCCCGTCAGGAGCCGCAGAGCCCCTCTGGTGAGCGGGCTCGGGCGCCAGCCCGGGCTTGGAGGGGGGAAGGCTGCAAGGCAGCGCCGCGACAGCACCGCTGATGGCTTCAACAGGACGCCCAGGGTCAGGACGGTCACACCAGGGGGGGTAACATTTTAAAAAAAACCCCAAACTCTCAGGAAAAGGGCTTGCCATTTCACTCTCCAGCCTCTAGCTTCTTCACACTGAAGCCGTACGGGGTCAAACAGGGACTGTAAACAACGTTACAGGAAAACAAACTGGGAAGAAAGAGTAAACCCACTTCTACCGCTACGGCCCCCTAAGCCATTGGAGGAAGAGCAGTACTCAGAAGAGAAAACGTCGTTCTCGCCAGCGGAGCCCCCTTTGTGTGCTGCCAGCTTCCAAGCGACGCACGCCTGCTGGCACCGCGCTTCACGGGGCACGAGACCCCTCGGGGCAAGGTCAGGGCATCCGCCACAGACACCGCGCTGGGACGTAACGCCTGAGATGATGCCGGCTCCCCCGCTGCGATGGAGCGGGGTTCCAAGCCGGGCTGCCGAGCCCCAGTCCAGGCGGTGAATCAGAGGACAGCGAGGTGAGGGGAAGAGAAAGATGAAAGGAAAATAGGGGTCACCTCTTCCCCCGATGGAGCAAAACCTATTCAAGCACGACACAAGGCCGCTCTGCATCCAGGTAGCTTCCAAAGCACCGGCCGTATTTTGAAGAAGCTCTCGCCCACCGGGAATCCTCACAGTCTGTCCTGCGGGGCCAAGGAGACTCTCCTGCGCTCTGCCAAGGAACGGGTCTGTCCTCACACTTCGCACCGGGGCGTGAAAACCACAGAACTGTCACAGCTTGACTCACGGAATGCCCCAAAGCATCCCTGCTGCACCTCCCCACCGTTCCCCCCAGCGATGGCTCTGGATTCAGTTTACTGGCTTTTATCCCCTGCAAACCCCTCCCAATATATGCATCTCTAGATACATATATAGATATAGATTTACATATGCAAGTACCTATATCTATATACATATATTTATTTTATACGTATATATTTTCATTTATGCTTTTAATGAAGTGCTGTGCTTTCAACTGCTGCCTTCCTCCTCCACAGGGATCCGCTCCTGCGCACGCTTTTCAGTCCGAGGAAAGAGCGCTGGGCGCTCTCGTCTGCAAGCAGCACACGGGAAGTCGCCGAGAGCGCAGAGATGTCCCAGACCGCCAGCCTGCCGCCGGCTCCCCGCCGCCCCCCCTCCCCACCCCCGATGGTGCTACTGCGGGTTCTTCAAGATGCGCCCGTGTCTGAAGTCGTAGACGTGACGACAGAGGAAAACCAGCTCGGGGTCAGTGTCCTCGGGCACCTTGCGGTGCAGAGGTGTGGAGTACTCTTCCGAGGGAGGAACCATAATGGTTTTCCTGCCTGGGATCCCTTCGACTCGACGCTTTGCCAAGGCACAAAATCTGCAACGCAATTAGAAGAGTTAGCACGGACTCGTTTCATCTTCTGCTCTTCGCACCAACCTGTCTCGGCAGAAGCCACGACCGCGGTCGCCCGAGGACGAGGGGTGGAAGGGGAGGAGCGCGGGGGAGACCTGAGCTTTGCTCAAGAGGAGGACATGAAGTACCGTTGCTTTTGATCCCACCCTGCACTGCAGGAAGCAGCACAACGGTTTGTATTTCTATACTTGTGGATGCCGCACAGTATGAAAGATGACTGCAATTAATCCACTTGCTTTTTTCTACTGTGGCCCTGCTGTTTGGGCAAACGAAGAGTTCAGGATGCCTTCAGGGAACACCTCGCAAAGGTGACCTTACCCACAACAGCGTGAAAAAATTCCTACCAGCAACTACTCCAGAGGACTGGCTGTTAGAAAGGAAATGAGCAACGAGCTGTTTGGATGCAAAGCTTAGGGTTTTCTGTGGGTTTTTGGTTTTGTTTGCCTGCCTTTTTTTTTTTTTAAAGAGTTTTCAAAAGAAAGAACAAAATTCAGCTCATAAAGAGTTTGTCAAACAGTGTTTGTTCTCAGAAACTCAAACAGCAGCGCCCTAGGCTAGGAGCAGGAGGACTACGAAGGGTGCGTTAGGGCTTAAACATCCCCTCGTGGTAAGATTGCACAGTCAACAAGATGCACCCAGCAAAACTGAAAGAGATTTAAAGCACTTTTGCATTATGGATTGATTTGTGTGTCCTTTCAACCCCTATTTCCATGCTGCCCTGCACAGCCATCCATCAGAGGATGGCAGTCTTGAATATGGACGCTCGGAAGTTCTTACTGACAAAGTTTCAATTCAATCAGCAAGAGCTTAACAGTAAAAGCCTTAGTCACTGCTCCGAGCGATACCGCTGCCAGAACCCCCGGACCCGCGAGCGCATACACTGCTGCGTCAGAGCAGCACCGACACACACGTATCAGCCGGCTTTTTGGCTAGCTATGGCAGCTGTGTACCACGGGGGACAGACGGACAGGATGATTTCCTGCCTTGCTTAGCTTTTAGCTCCGAGTTACGGGTTTTCCTGCGCTCTCCTCCACGTGCTGCGGTACCAAGGTCATACAAGTACAAACTTTTGTGAGCCCCTTAAAGCATATATATTACACAAACCAGACACGTCCTGAATCTAGAGTGGAAGAAGCACCTGCAGACTGCAGTACCGAACTCGGGCGCAGAGCGAGTGTCACTCGTCCCGTTCCAGCTAGACCAAAGTCTGCAGGGCTGGGACAGTTCTGCTGGGTGATGGTTGGAAATGGCAAGAGCGACAAGAGCTGGAGACAGGCGAAGGTCTCAGAAGAGCAGCAAGTTAAGAGCACCACCTACCTGCAGTACTCTGCAAAGGTCAGCACGTAGCATTTCTCCTCTATGCAGGCAACACTGTTTTCGTCCTGATGCCGGGATGCAAAGATCTCATTCTGCAAGAGAAGGAAGAGGTGACCCAGGTGGCCAGGAGCCCCAGGGAGGCAGGGCCAGCTCCACACCTTCACCCATCACCTTAAAGGAGAGTCTAGCAAAGCATGCTCATAGCAGAGCCAATATTTCACATAATACAGACACTTTCCAGGTGTTTTTGGACCTATTTATAGTGTGCGCCAGAATTTTATCCAGCGACACGTGAGCAAAGCATTAAGAGTTCTCCCATCATTTAACGCTGCCCAGCACACTTGGTGTCCAAATCCCACACGTACTGCCAACGTTACGAAAGCACTTCAGCAGCGAGGCCACCAGCAGGTACACCACTCAGCCTCCTCTCTCCTCCTGGGGATGACGGAGAGCTCGTGGCCACCGCTGAGAAGTGGCCCAGGAGATGAGCTTTTGCAATGCTGCACCAGGAAAAATAAAAGCAGCATTTTGAAAGCGCTATTGCGATGCCTGGGAAAGACGAGGAGACAGGTAAGAGGGAGGAAGGCTGAGTTCATCTGGGGAGGTACTGCAGAGGCTCAGAAAGAGGAAAATCCCTGCAAGAGGTGCTTTTGCCCTGGCTCATCCAAAATCTGACGCTGTGCACAGACTCCACGTAGAAGGAGCCTTCAGACCGCATCCAGAAAACCCAGTGAGCAATGCTCCTGCAGGCAGGAGGTTGGAGCGCTCCCCACCCACACGTTCCTCCAAGCTCCTAGGGATGTTCTTCATTCATTTTCCCTTTCCTGTGCTGGAAACCCTTCCAAATCATTTGTACAGCTGAAAACGTAAGTGGAGATTGAATAGCACTTTGCTGTCCTTACTAGTACCCTGTGACACGTGACCAGTCTTTCCAATCCCTCTCTGTATCAAAGCTAAAGGAATCCCTTCTTTTCCAACCCTTCCCTCATCCCACTTCAATTAAAAAGGCTGGTTTAGTGAGGGAAGTAGCAATAGCCTTTTTTCCCAGGGTAATTTAGGAAACTTGGCTCTGCAGCAGGCAGGGTTGGTTAGATATGGGGCAACCCAGACAGAGCCATTCGAAAGAATTTCAGGTGTGGTTAGATCAGCAAAGATCATCTCTGGGAGTAAGGATGCTCTGCACAAGTGTGGAAGCGTTACCTGCAGGCTTTGTTTCTGCTCACAGCCCCGAGGAAGGAGGCTGGAAGGAAAGACTCACAAAAGGGTCACCGTTTGGGGACGTGCTTAATCAGAGAAAGGGAAAATGCCACACCTCGCTTCTGCACATCGGGGTTTTGGTCTGCTCCGTAAATCAAAACTATCTGAGTCATCTTTGGCAAGCCCATCCCAGCTACTCAGCCCAAACGGCACTCGCTCATTTCAGGTCTTGTGTAATTAAGCAGGTGTGCAAAAAACTGGCTTAATTCCTCCCGGCCAGACTACCGGCGCTCTCTCCACACTAAAAGGCAACTGGATACAGTCACGCTTCATTTATGGACCAGAACACTACATGGTACCATGTTTTGGTTTAGAAACTCATCCGTGCCCTGCAAGTCAGGCGGGTACGGTTCCGCGGCCGTTCCCCAGTCCCGCTCTCACCTCCGCCCTCCCCTTTTATTTAAAAAAGGAAAAAGGCACCAAGTATTTTGGTGGGTTGAAAACAGCAGTAAATTCCCCATTCCCAGTTTAAAAACAGCTTGTTCTGTCACCCAACACAAACCCATGCAAAGCAGAGCAAGGCGTGAAGTCATAATGATTCACACGTTTTTTTTCCTTTGAAAAAGCGAACTCTGTTCTACTGGCAACACATCCTCGAGTCAGCCTTTAATTCTGTCATAGATCGATACAGGGGGAGGACGATGCACCCACACTTCTGCACAAAACAAACAAGTTTCTGGAGTTTAAGCAGCAGGTTAAGTGATTTATGATAAAAAGGCAGCACATGGTATCGGTACCCCCGTGTCCTGCAGAACTGCAGCGGGAGCTTTTGTGTAGCGCTCTGCGTTTCTGGGTGAATTAGAATGCCCTTTTTGGAAAGGCGTCTGATCTCGATTCAGCATAAACTCACTCTTCCTTACTCCTACGGTAGCAATCAGAACAACTTTTCACTTAATGCACAGGATTTTCTCAGATTAAAGGAAGAAACATTAAAACTTAACAGAGGCGGCCACGTAAAGAAGGCAGCAGCTTCTGTTACAGTCCAGAGCTTCTACAGATGACAAAAATCGGGGAAAAGCCCATCTGTAGGACACCACCACTCAACACATCTGGCAACAGCTGCAGCACAGCCGAGAGACAGCTCCGTTTTACTCAAAACGGCAGCTCGGCCCCCTGCGTATGGGGACCCCTGGGAATGCAGGGAGATGCTCAGGCGAATCCCCTCTTGCTGCCGACGCGGACACGGCAGGCTGCCCTCGCCCCGCGTCCCGCGCCGGCACGGCTCACCTGGTGCATACTGGGGTTGCGGCCTCCCTGAGTGTGCTCCGGTCTGTAATACCACAGGAGGCTCATCATCAGCTCCCCTGCAAGAAGATTTATTAAAATATGTCAAGCCTCAGTGTTCTCGTAGCGCTTTCCCACTAATATCCAGCTTCCTCCTCCTGCTTCATCCCTTTAATTCCCATAGCGCTCACGTAGAGGCAGCTGTGCCACGATAAATATTTCATGCTGAACGAGGTGTCCTTTTGTTACAGCAAGAAGCCGTATGAAGTCGGTCCCGTTGCTATTCCATTACACCTTCACCCCCTTCTACTTGTGTTACATCGTCACAAAGAGGTCAGTTAGGCACCAAAAAAAACCCAACACCAAACCAAAAAGCAAACGTTTCCATCTGAAAAAAGTATCCATTCAGACTGCAGGCTGGAAAAGACGCTCTCCAGAGCGTGGCACTGGCAGCGGTAACTCCCAGGTTAACTCCAGAATTGCTGTCGCAGGATGACACGACTGAGGTGGGCCTCATCACATCCTGATCACTTCTTTTACACATAATTTTTTTTTGGTACTTTCTTTAATTTTAAGCGAGACCTGTACTTTGCAACGTTTGGCACAGCTTCCTTGGCTCAGGTATCGCTAGTCAGAGGCGGGACCTTAACACCAAAACCACACCGCCCCAGTCACCACCTCTACTCGGGTCCCATCTGGAGGTGCCGCAGATCAGCCCGTGCTCCCCACCAACTCCCAGCCCGCACACTGGGCAGAGCAGTTGAGCAAACAGCAGCTCCTGAGATGTCTGCTGCAATGAAATAATAAAGGAGATGGTTGCTAAGACAGGCACTTGGCAGATATTATGTGCTTTCACGACCAGACAGATTTTGATTACCAGTCCCAGGCTAGTGATTAAAGAGCGTCTCAGTTCCTGGAACAATCTGAATGAAAGCCACGGAGCTAATCTCTTCCTCTTCATCACCCGGTCTGGCAGCAGTGGAGTACCCTAACAAGCTTGCGCCTCTCCCGAGATCCATCACTTCCCCGGGCCCAGCTCACCCTCGTCTGTCACACACAGAGGCAACGTGTACGCTTTTGGCACAGTACCTGTTTTGGGGTCTTCCCACAGTGCTGATATCTTCGCAACGTACGGCATCGATTTCTTCCGGGGTCCGGATTTCAAGAGGACAGTATCTCGTACCCGGATAATCTCCCCGTCTCTCTCCACGGCCTGATAGCTCTTGCGAACAGCCGGCTCTGGTTCATTCTACACCATCAGAACACACAAAAAATAAAGCAACCTGAGTGTGCAGGCAAAGATTCAGCGTATTGTTTGCTACCCCAGTCCAAAACTCCTTCAGTTCTGCTGCGAATTAAGAACTTGCCTAAGCCTGCCCAGAGCCAAGGGCTTCCACTCCAACACAGCTCCGAGAGGAGCCACGCAGCACTGAGACCGCTCGTGGCATCTCTATTCCCACCAGGTTGGCTAACACCAAAGAGCAGGTCAGACGGGATTACTTTTTCTACGGGTAAGGCATTCACAGGGAAAGAAAGTTCACCGAGGAGTAACATCCAAGTGCTCCCAAGTCACGCGTGGCCATCGTTTTTAAATGAAGCGAAACACAACTAGTTCTGCTACGTAGTGCTGGCAGTAAGGAGCCACTCACCACTGGGACAGCAAGTCTCGTAAAAGTACATATTCTGAAATTATTACCCTTATTTCAAATTTTAAAAAAACCCAACAATTTCTCCTTCAATGCTGCATGCAGAAAACCGACATTCAGAAAACTCACCATTTTACGTGCCTACCTGTAGGTGTGCATTTCCTTCCTATCCAAAAGGCAGGGAAAACTAGGCATCTTTTGAATGCTATGCATTTCTCCGATACAAATATTGTAAGAAAACAAATAAAACATGAAATATTTCCCATGAAGAGGGCAGGGAGTGGCAGGGAGGCTGTGGCATAAAGCTCTCCTTACCGAGATTGCTAACATTTCCTTTGTACCCTCTAACATTACAAAAAGATCTCTTTTTGGCCTGTGAGCTGGGGGGGTGTTATATTTTATTTCAGTTTTGCTCTGAAAACTCATTTCCAAATGCCTGAGCAGGATGGGTTTAACCTCCTGCCCGATCGCCCAGGCGAAGGCGGAAGCATCGGGCGCCAGGACGGAAGGAGATCGTCGTGCTGCTGCTTTCGAAGCGTCAAAGTCTGAGCGATGGATGGAAGCGGCCCGTCTCTGGCTTCTGCGCACTTCAGCCTCGCGCAGCCCGTGGTACCCGCACACGGCCCCCAGAGCTGAAGCTACGGTCCCTGTCCCGGGTGATGCTGGCAGCAGCTGGAGGTGACACCACCGCAGCAAGCGGCAGCACGGACAAGCGCGCTTGGACCGCAGCTCCCCTCGCTGCTGACACTTACTGCACCCCGTTCAACGCCTTGTCCCACCTTCCCAGGCAGCACGTGGGCCCAGATTTCAAGTCCACTGCTTTTACGTTTTAGTAACATGAAGTATACTGCCTTCTCTCGCAATTGAAGTGGACTTTACTGCAGTTAATTAAGTTTTCTGGCAGGAAATCTCCCATCTTGCAGGAGCCAGCCTCTGCCCCTGACCACGACAAATGGGCAAGCACAGACGAGAAACCCTTGAAGGACTGACTGGCCGTGCCACCAGGTAAGTGACAAAAGGGGTAGTATTGGGCGCCAGAAAAGTTCCATCTGGGAGCCAGGACACCGTCTCGGTCCTCTGTGCTCTCTGGGAGATCCCACTGGGCTACAGACACCATCAGCGAGAGAACCACCTTACGAGAGCTACCTTCAGACAACCGCTGCTTGTACCAAGGCTAAAACCTCCCTCATTTTCTCAAACAGCTCTGCCCTTGCCCAGGAGGAAGAAGCTGGAGAACGATCTCTCTGTAGGATGGACTCGCATGTGCCAGCCTTGCAAATGCCGAGGCCAGAAGCATTCATCATCACGGTGTTTCAGCTGATGCTAGCACAGGAGTGGCAGGTTTCCCTTCCTTTCCAAACAGCCTGTCACGCTGTGCAAGGTAATACCAGGGTGCGGGAGAAAAACCACTCCAACAGCAGCTTGGCCTCGAAGCCCGGCCAAAAGGCACTATTTGCTTGCCCAAGAGGTTCTAGATGGCCTCTAGTGACCATCTCCACCTTGAAGCAAGGCCCAAAAACGCCCTCTAGCCTTCATCCCCTGAAGATGCCCGAATGGGTATAGCTGTACAGACAAAGCCCAGCGCTCCACAGACACCTACCACAACGTAGACGGCCTTCTCGCAGGCGGTGCCAACGGGTATCCAGCCATTGGTAGCTCTCCGCCTGCTAATGCGCTGCTGCTTTGGATGGGAATGACCTCCCGCCGCTTTGCTGTCAGAGGCGTGGAGACAGCCCGTGGTATTTCGGAGACCGGATTTGGAGCCGCTGGGAGGCTTTGAGCTCTGCGGACATTCTCGGGCCATGGTCTGAGGGTCAGAGTTGGGGGTCTGCAGATGAGGAACGGGTTCTGCAGCCGGTGGCACGCTGGGCACAGGACATCCTGAGAGCGGGTGGGCAGGGGAGGGGGGGTGCCCTGCCACAGGGATTGTGAGGTTCAGCTGGTCCAGAGACTTGCAGCCTTCTAGCAGAAGGGAAGAAGAGAGACATGTATCTCATTTGAAATATAAGAGGACTACACAATCAAGAATGTCCCAAAGTACCACTTTCTCCCAAAATTCCCTTTATTGCATTATAGCAGTAAAGACTTTTCTTGTTCCAATTTCATTTTGCACCGTCACTGGATTCTAAAAGCAAAGATATTTCTAAGCCTGCGATGCTCCAAAGTGTTGCTGCCGATGACACTGCACTACAAGAAACCCATCTGAAATCCCCCGAAGTAGTGCCAGCCAGTAATACACATAAGGCTGGCCAGTGGCCAAAGCAGTTCCAGCCTGTCAATATGTATAAAAGAAATAAAAGGCTTATCAAAACGATGGGAAGGATTAAACCACACGAGCAGAAGCCGCCAGCTTCTTTCAAAATGCCAAATTCTACTAATCAGGGAAAATTGAGAAGATTCTCTGAATTAACTCCAGAAATACGAAACAGCGTGGAACAGAACTATGTAAGATGATGCACGCTGCTGCCTTCAGCAAAACCGTGTCCCTACAGCAGACGCGTTAACCACAACAGGTTAGTCAGTTGGCTGACGCTGCCTCTCAACAGCATCCCAGAGCACCTCGCACCGCTCCGGGAGTCACAAAACAAGCCCTCAACCCAGGGCAACAGAGGAGCAAGTCGGATTTGAATTCCCTACCGTCAGCGGTAAGAAAGCTCCCCGACCAACATCCAAAGCACCCCTACTCCCTCGATCCGAAAGCCTGCTCTTTTTGGGGTGATCGACAGGGCAGCTTCAGGCCAGCTCCGGGAGATGCCCCCGGACCGGAGCACGTCCCAGCAGATCTGTGGGACCGCACTGCTGCAGAGCTGCTAAAATATCTAACAGTGAAAAAACATCTGAAGTCCCCAAGCTCCAGCTGAGTAACTGCCGAGATCCCCCGGCAGTACCAGGAAAGTATTGCCTCCTGTCTCCCGCCTGACCCTCCCGGAGAGGGCTGGCACTCACCTCTGCCCACCCGAGGGGCAAACGCCGCAGCAAGTCCCCGAGCCAGCCAAGCCGTGGGGATGCGCGGTCGGGTACCCTGCCTGGCCTCGGCAGGCACGGGACCCATACAGCAGTGAGTCACCTCTTCAGTATTTTGCTTACAAAAGCAGTTTTCAAGCTTCAACTAAAGCAGGATGAAGCTTCACAAAAGTATTTACTAAACTTCAGGCGAGTAGTGGAGAGGTGCCCTCGCTGGCACCCCGGGGCTCGCTCCGTGGCGGCACACACCGCCGGCACTCCACCGGCGCTGAGGCATCGCACAGCCCGTCCCGTCCCATCGCCACCACCCTGCTTTCAAACCGCACGCTGCAAACCATCCGCGGGACCGGGAAAGCAACGCCTGTCCCCTACACGTGGCAGACCACAACTGCCCAAGGTTACAGCCTGATCCCTTGATTTGTACCAAACGGACACCGGTACTTCCATATGAACATCTCGAGCACACCATGTAAGACAGACGCTACACAAGGTATGCGACACATCAAGCTGGATCCTCTTGTACCGGTGCTCTCAGACAGGAGTCTGTTGCTTCAGCCAAAGTACTCCTTTAATTCACTAAAACAACCCACTCTAGGGAAGGATGAGGTTTCAGAGGCACACTCTTATATAAAAATCAACTCCTAAGCATAAGTCCCTGTTAATATTTTTGGAGACCTCCTTATATACTTCAATCCACAAAATGAAGCCTACATTATTCCAATGTTGTAGGCTTTTAAATCAAAGTTGCTCACAGGAAGGAAATCAGAATCAGTGAAGCATTTATATGTACAGTCAGCTTTAACCCAGAACGCACCACATCCAAAAAACGTGCTAGAAAAAGAGATTATCTTGCCACTTACAAACCTACGCCGAGAAAGATCTCAGCAGCGGGGTGACACACCACTAGTAAATACATGCCCCCGGCACCGCTACAGCCCCTGCCAGCACCGGGAGGAACGGCCGAGTTCGCAGGGAGGGCTGATCTCCAAAACCACTCTGTCTGCACCGCCTGCATCCTTCTGGTTGTGGGAAGTTAGAGGCACCGGCATGCAAAATTTCAGGAACAAAGCAGACTGACATGACCTCAGGGCAGTACAGAGAAAGCTGTCAGACAAGAACACGTTGCTGAGCTCGTTGTCTTGCAAGCATTCCACTTTACCGAGCAGCGAAGCCACCAGCGAACACTGTCTAGCTGCTACCGTAGGAAGCGGCACCACGACAGCGGGGATATTTAGGGAAAAGAGACATTATACTTCAACCAAACGCTCCCGAGTTTCAGCAGCTTCCTTCAACGGAAGATGACAAAGCCTCGCTCAAACCGAGCACTGAACCACGACTTCATCCACCTACCTGCCAGTCTGTTTTAAGTGGGTAACTCATGGCTCCTTCCGACTCCGACACGTGGGTAACGGAGAGCGATGCTCACGCCCCCCGCAGCCGCAGCAGCCCGGTCTACGGACCGTACTGTTTGCAGACGGCAGCCCTGTCTAGCTTGATGGCTTTTATACAAAGTACTGGTGTCTGATAACCCCCACACAACAATCCACTTTTAAATATTTCAAAAGATATTTTTCACTAGCAAAGGCAAAGCTCCAGGATAAAGCACACTGGAGGACAAAGTCTGAAAAACAGGCAGGGGAGAGAGGAGAGCCAGGCAAAGAACTGCATCACCTCTCGCACCGTCACCTCTTCTCGTTTCAATGCCTCATTTTCAGGCATTGTTTAAGAACAAAGATGGGACCACTACTCACCAGACTAACGGTGTACCCGGCACTTCTATCACCACACTGAAATTCAAGCATCTGTCCAAACAGTACAGGCAAACGGAATCATTACACAGCCCTGCCAGATCTCAAATCTTAAACGACTGCGTCCCCTACACAGCTTGCGCCAGGAGTCTAATGACCGCGGCGATGCCCGCCTCTTCCCACCGCTCTGCCCTGCAAGGATGCTTCGGTCCCCAGAGCAAGCTTTTGGGAACGGAGGAGCAACTCAGCCCCATGTGCCTTAGACCCTCCGCTCAGAGCAGCCCAGCAGGACGGCGAGAAGCCTTGCAGAGCACGTAGGAACTACACCCCACTCGTTTTACACAGATCAAAGCTAAGCGGTTAGCTCCGGCATGACAAGTCATGAGTCACCTTCTCACTGCCCAAATCCTTTCACCGATTCTATGCTTTCCACACCAATAAGACCTTTCAGTGGGAAAAACCCTCAGGGCTAAAAACGGGGGAAGGGGAGGTGAAACGCAGATTCTTTCCGAGCAAGCGAGCGGCAGCGGGGCTGCCAGAGCTGCGAGGCACCATGCGCAGAGGGAGTTTGCCTCCTGGCAACGAGACGCCTTCATTAGCCACCGCGCCGAACCGGCCCTCTTCTCCTCGGAACGCCAAAGGAGATTTGCTCGCGCTTTTCGCCTTACCTGCTGCAAAAGGCATTTTGTAGGGGTAGCTGTTCCGTCCCGCGTGCACGCTGCTAATCCTGCCCTCCGGCACGTGCACCACTCCGCAGACGCTGTAGCTGTTAATGGCCGGTCCTTCTCCACAACAGTACGGGGAGTTACACCAGGGGAGTGGCTGGAAGTGAGCACCTGATGGCAAGGAACCGGGCGATACCAAGAGCCCCTCGCAGGTAGCAGACTGCGAAAGCTCGTCCTTGGGGTAAACGGAGCAGTGAGAGTAGCCACTGTATCCACTTTGGCCATAACAAACGTAAAACCCGTTCAAGGGAGTCAGATCCGAGGATTCGTAGAGACATCCACAATCCGTGTGATTTCCGGGCACGGGCAAGGGAGGGAACTGCTGCACGGGAAAGGAAGGCTGATGAAACTCCTGTTTGGGGGTGGGGGATTTCTCTCCGGGTCTTCCATACTCGGGCTTCATGGAAGCTTGGCCACCCATGAGCAAAGGCAGTCTGTGGTAGAAACCCTCTGTGCTAGCATAGGAGCTAGACAGCGACTCGTAAGGGACGGGCTCTGTCGTCCCGTAGAGCCTAGAGGAGTCCCGCTGCTCCCCTTTCCCAAAGGCGCCCAGCGCGAGCCCTCGCCAGCCGTGCGGACCTTCCATCTTTAAGCTAGCCGCTTCCTTCTTGGATTTGACGCAATTCTTCCTACCGGCTTTGGCCCATTTGAGCGTAGATTTTGAACAGTGGTTCTCGGACTTGCCCTCTCCGTCCGATTTACTCCTCTGCTTCAGGGGTTGGTCTTTCTCATGGGTCAGCTTCAGAAAGGCCACGGCATTCAGGCTGGCCAGTCTCTTTGGGGTGGGATGATAGGAGATGGCACCATCCTCCCTCTTCGCCCCATCATCAAAGACCTCATCCAGTGAATGGTCACAGCTATTGCATTTCTGACTGGGCTCGGGCCGGTTTTTTCCTTTCCCTGTTTTCACAGCTGTTTTTTCCAGCGCGGGCCAGTTGTCACCGGCTTTGCAATGCAAGCTCTTACCGGTACAGTCTCCACCGGCTTTAACGGAGTCCCTCCGAAAACGCCTGCCGGATAATAAGCCATCGTCCCGTTCAAAAAGCAGATTGTTCACGGCCTCTGCGTTCAGCGAGGCCAGCCTGCGCTTCCTGGGCTCTGAAGGAGCAGTATCAAGGTCTTGCTCCGTCCCTGGATAACTTATTGTGCACTTTTCCCCAGATGAATCACTCTTCCCTGCTCCCGCAGGCTGAACTTGTTCGGAGAACAAAGCAGGTCCCAAACCCTCCATCCAGCTGGGAAGGTCCTTTTTTTTACAGCTCTGGGTCTGTTTCGACAGAGACCCAGCCACATCCTCCAGCCTGGTGAGGAGCACTTTGCAGGTCTTTTTGTTCACCGAGGGGAGCAGCCGTCTCCGCAGTGGGTACGTCTTTCGCACTTCATGCAAATTCTTGCTTTTGCTCGTCCCCACAAACCCACTGGGACAGTTCGGAGCCTCGGTGGCATCTCCGTCTCTCTGCTCGCCACACTCTGCGTCGGTCCTGTCCATCCTCCTGCTGCCCGTCGCTGATGAAGCTTGGCCAGCAGAACCAGCTGGATGCTTCAGAAGGAAAAGTTGTTTCTTCCGGGCATGCGTCATAGGATCAATGTCCAATCCTGAGAACGAACAGAAGAAAACATCTATTAATATCGCTGAGAGGGACCCATCGCCTCACAAAGCGCCAACTGCCAATTAGGAAATATTTGGGGAAGCTTGTTTCTATACACAGCAGAGTCTTTTTGGGTGATGGCCAGTTAAGCCAATTAAGAGACAGGATGCGATGAGATGTGGTTTAATATTAAGCCATAGAACACGGCAGTAATTAAAAGCAAGGCGGTGACGGCAAATGCCACAGCAGCTGGGAAAACCAGGGTACGGCCGGGAAGGTGCTTCACCCCGCTCCCGCCCCCACTACGGTCCCTGTTACACCGACGCTGTTTCTGTCACGTTACGAATTCTCATCAAATCTACTAAAGGTGATGTGAAGGCCGGTCCAGGGCGCGCAGCAGCCACACATCCCCGGTATTCGCCTGCTGGCGTGTTGATGCAGGCAGGCTGTTTCACTGGCGTTCTCTGTAACAATTAGACAAAAGAAAAACAAAAAAGTCCACCTACTCACGTGAAAGGTAAGCTCGGTCTATTAAGCAGAGATCTGCCAACATTAATAAATTAAATAGATGCAAATCCCCATGCAGGTTAGGACCTGGCTACTCGCTGCTCTTGTCGTTCCCTACAGTTGCATTTTATAAACGTTATGGACATTAAACGACCAAATCATCACGTTTGGCAGAGAGGCCCTAAGAATGCATTTATGGGAGGAAAAAGAATTACTCAGCTGTATGTCATTCCTGACTTTTCATCTAGATGCTATGTCAAGTCACTCTTCCAAACCAACCCAAATTACTAATAGAAGGAGATAAGAATCTGCACGCGGAACAGGAACCGCCTCGCTGAAGGCACGGCTGAGCAAACCAGCACCCCGCACCCTAAACCAGCACCCCGCACCCTAACGAAGCTGCCGGCAGACCCGGCGGCTTCAGCACATCCGACCTTCCCAGCCAGGTAAAGCGTTACACAAGTGGTCTGGCTCTGGTTTACCGCCGAGAGGGAACTTCTCCTGCCACCGCACAAGGCATGCCAGCCTCGGGAGGAGGACGGCACCGCAAGAGGTGTCGGTGGAAAGGTGGGGAGGAAGCATCAAACCTTGACAAAATGGAGGCGACTGCTGACTGCCTTCCCCCAAAGCACCAGGAGCAGAGGTCGTGCGCTCACCACGCCACGCAGCGAGTACATCCCCGGCTGTCACGTCACACCGGGAGCAGGAGCTTACTACTAAACGCCCCCCTAGCATGTGCTAAGCAAGCGACAGGAGGAACAGCACCCACCCGAGAGCCCTTCAGCCATGTGTCGGCTTCCTCAGTTATCCAGCAAACTAAACCCCATCTTTATTTTTCCTGTTCCATTTTTAGCAGAAGGGTTACCACGCCTTTGTACTCTTGCGTTTCAACTTCGGCAGGAGACCTGCAGCGGGCTTGTGAGAGGTATTTGAGGAATTAAGCAATTTTGCAGCCTGAAGGAGCACAGATTCACGTAAGAAGCTGTAGGTCTAACGCTAAGAAAGGATACGGGTAGGTGATTCTGACCTATAAACATTAGAAAAAGTCAGCCAAATTGAGCGATATTGGAATAGATTTAATTAAGTCTGTATCTGAGCGTCAGAAACAGCAGAAAAGGATGACTGCTTGCAGTTAATGGCATTTATGAAATAGTCAGACTCCCTTTATTGGCACCAAAGAGTTGGTCTCCACGTTAGCATCAACCCAGGAGCGGTTTGATCTTCCCCGCAATCAGGTATTTGGCTGGAACACTCCTCAATTGACACAATCGACACTGGTCTGCCACTTCTGAGGCTCTTAATTAAAGCTACTACTGCTTTTGCAGTGATTAGAACAAAGCTAATGAATTACAAGAACTGTTCATTTGATATGGTTTAATCAAGCTGATAATTAGATTATCTATTTGAAATAAGCCCAATGTGTTTTAATTGACTTGCTTATATACACATTAACTAAAAGAAACTTAGGAATTGAAAACCACTGTGGTTTGCATAATGCTTTTCTAGATGTCAGGCTCTTCCCGACATGGTTTGGGGTAACTGAGCCCTTACACCCCGTTACACACAGGATATCTCCCCCGGCTAGTGCCGGAACAGGAGTGCTCCGCGGGGAGCAAACATTGATGTATATCCATGTTTTTCTGATAAGAAAAACAGGTTCTGGAAATTAGGAGGATGCTTATCAAGTCAGACAGACAGTTTCCCCCAAAATTGCGATTCTTCCTGCACAGGAGGTCAAACTGACCACACACAGTCTTGGGAGTTTGCAAGAGGACTATAATTTAAAAAAATAAATTGGGCAGAGTGGGGTTTGGCAGTGGTAGACCAGCATCCTACCCAACCACGCCCCGGGGAGGAGAACTTCTCCCGGGCTATACGGACCAGTGGGTTCTTTGCAACTCTCATCCTATTTTCTGTTGTCCCTACTGAGAGACGGAGCCTCTGGCAGAGGTGCTCAGCAGAGAGGTGAAAAACCCAAAATAAACAGCTGTGGCTTGCCTTAAAACCCAGCAGCAGCCACCACCTTCTCCTCGAGCTTTCGCAAGCAGCAGTCTGACCTTCTGGCCGCTCACCACACATCCTTCACTTGCTGGGGCTTTATAGCTCGTTAGTATTCCAATGAGCTAGAGTATCAATCAAAATCCAAGTACTAGAGACGTGGCTGTGTTCATACCACGTCTGCTCTACAGTTAGAAAGAGTCCGGTAGAGATTGAAGGGGATTTTTCCAACAGTGAAGTTGAGAGTCGTTAAGAGCACAGTGACCGTCTTCCCTGTTTGACCCCACGAGGAATGCCAAGACAAACAACAGCTTAAATAAAGTCTCTTTTTCGGAACCTACGCACAGGAATGCTTCAAAGAGCAATACCCAAAATGAAAACTGGTTCTTCCCCCCACACACACTTTTTTTTTTTCTTTCTACAGATGTTTCGTAGACCTGTGAGAAACCCACCTCCCAACCAAAGCCGGGACCCGAGACCCATCTTCCAGTGCGGAACAGGTAGCGACGTCTCACCGTGTTGTACCGCGTTTACAGCTAATATTCTAACCCGGCTTTCACCACTGACAGGCTGCAACCGGGAACGTCAAGAGAAACACTCGAGTTGAACATGCAGAGATGACAATAGAGATATCGGAGTCAAAAACGCATTAAAGCGGGAAGAGCACCAAGATTGAATGCGAGCCGTTTTAAGAGTCTCAGCCGTGTAAGCCCTTTGACATGACAAGTTCTTAGGCACAATAGTAATCAAGCAATCACAGGCAGCTGGGGGGTTTTATTTCTTATTTTTTAATGAAAGGAGGTTACGTCTGCATAGATCTCCTTCTTGGCATCTGGTCTCTTAAGTTCTCTCTCCCCCACTCGGAGGTCAGCTGCTCGACTGCTACCAAGCACTTATCTACACGCGAACAACTAAATATCTGGAAATTTGTGGAAAGACCAAATAAGCCAACCCCACACATTTTGGCATTATAGTCAAGTAAATCCTTTAAGTGTCAGCAAGGAAAACACCAGCCACACAGCAACACTTCCACGTGACTGTGAACCCTCTGAAATCCAGCTTTACCGCAGAAACACGGGACAACGTGCAGAAATACAATCCAAGTAGGTTAAGCAAATGCAGAAGTCTGCATTACTCTCTCAAAAAATTTCCACAATGGATTCCTTGGCGGGAAAAACACACCCAAACAAAAACCCCCAAAACTCCCAGCCAAGTTTCTCCCCGACAAGCTCAGTTTGGAGACAGAGAAGGTCATTCTTCCAGATCACACCTCACTAAAAACCTCAAGTCCAAAGTCAGGTGAATTCTGTTTGACTTCAAATTCATGACCAGATTCCATTTGCTTTGCACTGGCTCAATGTTATCAGGACACTATCGGTAGAAATAAACCAATTTTGCGTGGATCAGCTACAAAGTGTGGTGAAAAAGGTATAGTTTCTACTCTGGGTACTTCTCCACAATAAAACAACCACCGTGACCCACAGAGTGGTTCGTAGAAGCCGGAGCGTTGTTTATCCTCCCAAGTCTTTTCTGACATAATACTCTAATGGAGGTGGGAACGCCGTGTTTAGCATCTGTAATGAATCTTGTTATTCCACAGCCATACGCAATGTGAATTTCTTACAAACCATTGTGTCCAATGAGGAGCAAAACCAACCCACAACCTAACAGCTGGCTCCGTATCCCACGGAAGCCAAGTATAACATTTTAGAGCTGTTCCTTGACGTCTTTCTTGGAGAAACTCTCACACCTCTCCACAGAAGTCACTCTCAGCCTGGGGATTTTCATGCATTTTTCTGCTCTCCGTGATTTGTCATACACAGGTGCAGAAAGAGCCATCCCAAGCCTTGCTACAAGGCTGCTACAGTGATGCCGCTGCCGGTTTTGGAGAGATATTGTGCTAGGCATGAAGAAGATAAAAACCAAACACTACTACCCCAACAATTCAGCCACATGGTAAGCACGCATCGAGCAAGAGGCACCAAATAGTCTCACGAGATCGCTGCATGGAGCAAAAATCATCGTTAGCACACGGGGCTACCAAGAAGTCTTTCCAAGCCTACCAAATCGCCTGTATCGCTTTGCTAGGGGCATGCTGCCGCTCATTCCCTTCTTGGGGAAAAGCAGAGAGCAGCCAAGGCTGCCGACTCACCTGTGACCTAGCAACGCCGTTTCCTCCCCCAGCATAACCCAGAAGCAGAGCTTTTGAACGCTGCCCAAAACTAAACCATCTGACAGCCAAGTGTATCATGCCTCAAAATCAGAGCCAGGCCGAGTTTACTTACAGCAAGTATCGTACTCGTTTCAGCTGGGAAGCGAGAGTGTCAGGGCTCCCCATCCCCTTCCCACCTCCCTACTGCTTCACAAAGCGAAGAAGAAAACCCAGCTGTGCCCAGAAGTCTCCAAGAAATCGTGAGATAATCTGAAGAACTGAAAGTGAAGATACTTAAGCCAGAACCACCCATTTGCTGCTTGCAGCTGAGGA